TCAGTATGAATTAGTTATTTCAATCACAGTGTTCAACAACATCCAACACTTTTTACGAATATTCACACTTAACACTTAAAAAAAATTAATATTGTCGTTTGCTTTTTCGCAGCATTTTCCTTTTTATGGATATCCGTACGAAGCCTATATAGTATTAGCTTGTCACTTAATAAACTGTTCTCTTCTCTCAAGATAGTCTAGTAAGGATTCCAAATGATTAAGAGCAGCACCATGTGATATTTTCTTACTAGCAGCACTGGCCACCTCTTCCTCATTCTCACTTTCTTCCCGCTCTTCTGGCTGCACCCCCACTGAACTTACGATTTCATCACTGCTTAACGTTTCGAAGCCCAGCTCACACTAGTCACAGTCAAACCACTCTCTTATATTTTCCTCGTTGACTTCTTCACCACCATGAACTTGGTTAGCCAATTTTGTCAATTCTATGGCTATCTCATTTTCACTGAATCCAGTGAATCCATGGATTTTGTCATCTTCATTAGTGATGAAAGTTATCAGTTTCTTCCATGAACTTTTCAATACAGATGGCTTTACTGTATCCCACGCTGTTGAAATCTCGTATATGGCATCTAATACTGAAAAGGACTTCCAGAAACACGTCAGATCATTGCCTTCATCGATGTACTTTTGTAGCAAATTTGATCTGTAGATTCTCTTCATACTTGAGATAACTCCTTGATCCATTGGTTGGATAAGTGCGGTAACATTAGCGGGAAAATATTTCACAAAAATATTTCCATCATCTGACCTCAAGAGACTTTTGTTAGGATGTGAGGGCGCACTGTCAACGAGGAGCACAGCTTTCTCAGGTAGGCCTTGGGATTTTAGATGGTCACGAACTTGAGGCACGAATTTAAAATCAAACCATTCTTTAAATATCGCTCTATTCATCCAAGCTACTTTCTGGTTAAAATAATGGATAGGCAGACTTGAAGCTACTGTTCCTTTAAAAGAGCGTGGTCTTTTCGCTTTGCCGATAACTACTGGTATTAGTTTGTGTGTTCCTGATGCATTAGAACAGCACAAGACTGTCAATCTCTCCTTACTGGATTTGTGACCTGGAGCCTGTCTTTCATTTTGAAATGCCAATGTTCTGGTTGGCAAGCATTTCCAATAAAGACCCATTTCATCGGCATTATAGATTTGTTCTGGCAGCAGATTTTCACTTTTCACAAAACTATCAAAATTGGTGCAAAATTGATCTGATGCTGACAAGTCCCCTGACAATTTCTCACCTTGAATACTGATTTCTCGTATTCCATGACGCTGCTTGAAACGTGTTAGCCAACCGGAAGAAGCGTCAAAACTCCCTTCTAGTTCAAGTGCTTCGAAAAAATATTCCACTTGTTTAGCACAAACTGCTCCTGTTATTGTTGTTCCCTGTGCCCTTAGTTGATTAAACCAGATCAGCATTGCTTTGTCGAGATTACCATATGTTGATTTTTTCATGGTTTTTCTCTTCCTCATTCCGCTTGAATTAGAACACTAAGCAAAGGAAATTAACTGATCCTTTTGTTTTTTCAAATCATGAACAGTTTGTTCTCCACTTCCATACTGCATTGCTAATTGTTTAACTACACCTCTTTTTCCCAAATGATTGATAATTTCAAGTTTCTGTTGAATACTTAACACAACACGCTTCCTTTTAAACCCCGACATTTTGCTAACGCACTTGAAGATCTATATTAAGAAACTGATACTTACTTTCACAATGCACTCTCACACTGAGATGGTACCGTTAAATAACCTGGGGCGGTGTATTTGTCCTTGAAACTTTCCAANGAGAATTTCAAAAGACCAGCATGACAGCACAGCTGACTTCTCCAGGCACTATAACTAATTTAATTAACCAAATTATTGGACTTTTATTTACATTTACTTATTGGCAATTTACATATCTGTGTTATATATTCTGACATTAGTTTAACTCTACTATGAATATTAGAATATCATATTCCATTGTCTTGTACATGTAATATGGTGTTTCGTGGAAAATTCTATATTTTGAGAGCCTCCTGAAAGTCTGCATTCCTGACATTTATTGGGACTCATTCATCTTATACTGGGTGGATACAAACTGCCATGCCTCTCAATTAGAATTTAAAACAAATGTAGATTTTCATTTAGGGTTGCCTGCCAATCATGGCTATGCCAGGGTAATTACGACAGAGCTATTCCGTTTAAAACGTCAGTCACTACCAAGTGGTATGCATTCTTCTGTGATGTAACAGATCTGAGTGTGGGAAGTTATATCACAAGACAATATAAGCCATACATGAACCAAAACACTCATCAACTCTCAACACTGTAAAGACATCTTCAATGCTCTGTAATCTAAATAATAATAAGAAAAGTCTATGTTACAAAAATTTAATTTGGACAGCACAACTTCTAAATAAAAGGGTTGGATAAAAAGTAGTGGCAACACTGCTGTAACATGAAAGATGTGCGTCAGGTGGCACTAGCGCCATCTGTAGCTGATAGCAGAAGTTCAGTTGAAGTAGTGCAGTGAGTGGCTCTGGTTGTGTTTCACTGAATTGCATTGTGCATCATCTTGCAGTGCAGGAGCCCAGTTCAAGCACCCTAACAACATGTTTATGAAACAAGAACAATGCTCCTGGATAAAAATTGAAGTTGCATGAGGTCGTAGTGCACAAAACTGTTATCAGGGACTGCGAGAAGCATGTGGTGATGCTGCTCTGCCATATCACACAGTGGCACAATGGATGAAATTGTTCCGTGAAGGGACTGTCCATTCAGGACAGCCGTCGTTGAGGACAACCCCATGTTGACAACCACACAATCCTTCTTCTTGTTTCTTTGCTGGATGTCAATCGTTGATAGACTGCGCAGGAGTTAGCTGCTGAGGTAGGCGTAGGTCACAAAACCGTGCTCCACATTCTGCACGATATTCTTGAATACTGCAAAATTTCAGAGTGTTGGGTACCCCTTAAAATGTCCGAGGTGCAACAATGGCAACGTTATGCAATTGCACAGGACGGGTTGGACCGGCACCAGAGGGAAGGTGACAACTTCCTTGGAAGGATCGTCACTCTGGATGAAACTTGGGCTCGCTCATACAAACCGCACCTGAAGCAACAATCAAATGAATGGAAGCATCCTGGCTCTCCTTGTCCAAAGAAAGTGCGCCCTACACAGAGTAGGGCAACATTCATTGTGGCACTGACATTGATGGAGTGATACTGCACCACACTGTACCTCAATGACAGACAGTAAATGCTGCCTACTACTGCAATTTCCTGCATAATTATCTTCATCCAGCACTCAGGAGGAAGTGATGACTCTTGTTGCCAACGAATCCCATCATCCTTCATGACAATGCAAGGGCTCATACTGTTGCTGTCAAGGATCTCCTTTGCCGCTGGCAATGGGAGATACTGCAACATCCGCCATACACACCCGATATTAGTCCATACGATAATGATCTCTGCCAAAATGAAAGAACCACTGTGAGGGACACGTTACAACACAAGAGAGGAGATTATTCGTGCTGTAGGGTGGTCACTGCTGGACATCAACAGAAGTGGACATGCTGATGATGTACGATGCCTTCCACAAATTTGGCAGAAGGTGGTACATGTGGGGGGCTATTATATTGAAGGAATGTAAGTGTGTTTACCTCAGGTAATAATGTAATTTCAGAACTATAGAGGTGCTGCCACTACTTTTTATCAGAGCTATATATAAATAAATACACATTTGTAACTGAAGTGCAATCCATTTAATATTTATGAAATTAATGTTGATAACTGAATTTTTAAGTAAAGACTCACACACTCACAATTCTTCTTAATGTGACCTACATTTCACAGAAAACTTTAATAAATTAACAACATTTTAGGATTAAGCAAAAAGTGACAAGAGACAAATAAAATATTAACAACAACAACAAAATAAAAAACATTAGCATAGGAGCAGACCTCATATCCCGGACATGTGGACATTTCTTGCCAGTGACGAGTGTCAGAATGCTGCACACTGCAATTTTACTGGAACAGTCCAACATGAGCTTGTTCTTGTCATCACAGTCACCATAGTGCAAAGATCTTTGGTTTGTGGACAAGCACACAAACCATGACTTCTTCTTCACCCTCTGAGAACAAAAGCATTGCAGTATTGCAATACTGCCCAATTTAAAAATAGTGCACCATGTGACAGTAGCCACTATGATGTCCAGTCTGCATGCATAATAATTGTAATTTACAATATGTAAAGACAATTCAAGAGCATTTTTTCCTTTAAATAATTTTATTATTGGTTTGGTCATTCATGCCAGCTTTCAGAGACACTACACGTTGTGTGGACTTCTGTACACACTGTCTTTACCATGTCGGTCTTCATGCAACATCAGTCTAACCATAGGGTTAGAATATTGTTTTAGTGCTCTAAAACATGTAAACATCTACTTTAAGAACTCCACTGGGCAAGAACACCTTAATGATCCAGCTGCTGCATCCACAAAGATGTAACTGTAGGCATTCCAAAATTCAAGCAGAAAGTAACACAGTTTTCTGCATCACAGAAAAATTGAAGGCAGTTTCTTAGTAAATAAGGTAACTTCAAGCAAATTTATTAATTTGCATAACTTTCATTAATTACCTAGAAGCATGCAGTTTAAATGGAATGTTGCATTTTCAGGTTTTAATGTTTAAATATACTCCATCCCCAGGACTGAATAGGAATTAAATGTCTTGTGGCATTGAAGGGTTAATAGTTAATAATGACATGGCACTCAAGACTGATTGGTTGAAAGACATTTACTCTTTAAAACTGCCCTTAAATAAAGATTATAATCATCATTATTATTACTATTAACATATTAATTGGTGCCATATGAGATATTCTAAGTAACTGTAGACCTACACAAAGATCTTGGGAAAAATAGTATACAATAGACTGGTGTCCTTTACAGCTAAATTTAAAATATTAACTGAAAAACAATATGGATTTAAAAAAGATAAATAAACAATATCAGCGTGTCAGTCGTTTATCGGGAAGATACAAGAAGCTATGGATAAGAAATTAATACCAGTGGGTATTTTCTTTGATTTAACAAAGGTTTATGATGTTATTAACCATGATATTTTGCTAGAAAAATTAGAGCATTATGGGATAAGAGGACAAATTAATGCCTGGCTAAAATTACATCTAACACTGAGGGCACAATATGTGGAATTAATTTCTAAGAGCAACAATGACTGTATGACTCATTTTAATTCAAAAATAAGGAATGTAAAGGTAGGGATTCCACAAGGGTCAACCTTGGACCCGTTTTTGTTTTTGATTTACATAAATGACCTGCCCCTACATATAACTAACGGGGAAGTGGTGCTATTTACAGATGATACCAGTATACTGGTAATAGAGAAGAACAAAAATATTCTTCAAGACAAAATAGATAAGGTAATGAAGCAACTCGAATCTTGGTTTTCAATGAATAATATGGTAGTAAATAATGAGAAGACTACAACAATGTATTTCCACGTGAATAAACTACAAGATAGCATTGAGCCAGTAATTACCTTTAAAAATATAATAATTAATTATACAGCACAGTTTAGGTTTCTTGGTATTAATTTAACCCACAAATTAAAATGGAACATTCATATTCAGTCGGTCTGTACAAAGCTCAGTAAGGTGTGTTACATTATTAAAGCTTTGAAAGGCAAAGTAAGCCAATAAGTCCTTAGGAATGTGTACTTTGCTAAATTCCAATCTCAGATAAGTTATGGTTTGATATTTTGGGGGACAGAAAGTGAAAGTAAAAAAATTCTGATTTTGCAAAAAAGGGTTCTTCGAATAATGAAAGGTGTAACAAAAAGAACAAGATGTAGACCTATATTTAGAGAATTAAAAATTTTCAAGAAATATAACATTTACACCACAAAAAACTCTTGACCTACATAAGTATGACACGAGAAAGAAAGAAGACCTTCACGTGCAAAGTTATAATACCTTAACATATGAGAGGGGTGTTACAAATATGGCTATTAAGCTTTATAATAGGCTGCCTTTTGAACTAAGAATGGTAAAAGAAGATAGAGAATTCCTACAGAGACTCAAAAGATATTTACTGGAACACCCATTGTATAATTTGCATGAGTTCCTCTCAGAACAGTTAAACGAAAAAGATTCTCCTTGATAAATAGATTTACGTGTAAATAAAATGACTAGTAATTAGATGAAGTTTTTAATATGATTCAGCCTATAAAGGGAATGGAAGTCTTAAAAGAGATTATTTTGATATAATAGGTTTTAAGTTTAAGAATATGACGGTGGTAATTAAGATATATATAGTAAGATGACCTTGTTTTTATAATGGAAGGTAGTCGTAAATTTGATTGTACCTTGTGGGAACTGCCCACATTCAAGCAATGACGCTTGCGTTGTCACACTTGCTTGAATGTGGGTGTGGGAACTGCCCACATTCAAGCGTGACAACGCAAGCATCATTGCTTAGCAACGAGTAAACAACGATTGCTAAGCAATGACGCTTGCGTTGTCACACTTGCTTGAATGTGGGCAGTTCCCATATCCTAATATATTTTAATTATTTCAAGAGTGTGATTTTAATTGTAATTGAATGTTATGTTATGAGATATATGATGACGTTCAATCGATTGGGCAGGAAGCCAATTAGACTGGAAAAGTTGTATATGTATGTGACTTGTTCGAGAGTTACAATTTGTAACTGTGAGGAATGTTAAATAAAATTATTATTATTNGAACTGCCCACATTCAAGCAATGACGCTTGCGTTGTCACACTTGCTTGAATGTGGGTGTGGGAACTGCCCACATTCAAGCGTGACAACGCAAGCATCATTGCTTAGCAACGAGTAAACAACGATTGCTAAGCAATAACGCTTGCGTTGTCACACTTGCTTGAATGTGGGCAGTTCCCATAATACTTTTATCTCTCAAGTATCTATAAAGCTGAATGTTTTCCACAATCTGGCGCTAGTCATTATATAATTCAAAGNAGAGTGTGATTTTAATTGTAATTGAATGTTATGTTATGAGATATATGATGACGTTCAATCGATTGGGCAGGAAGCCAATTAGACTGGAAAAGTTGTATATGTATGTGACTTGTTCGAGAGTTACAATTTGTAACTGTGAGGAATGTTAAATAAAATTATTATTATTGTAAAGTGTTTTGGTCTCTGAAGACGCCGTTCGGATTGTTAATTGGTTAATTTAACAACATACAAGTCTGGGTTACAATTAATTTTAACATTGTTACGGGTTTACACACTTTACAAACCCGACACACTATTCTGTCCACACTGTCCTCAGGAGTCTACACGTATTCACAGTACGATACGGGAGCTATACCTGTGTCACTGTATTACACACTCCCAATTACTTCCCTTCTGAGCCAAGCATCTGCTTCTCACACTATCACTTCTAATCACACGTCCCGGTATTCTTCTTTCCACGACTGCTGCTAGATTCCAACTGTCTTCGGCGGCTGCTGATCATTCACTCACTTCTAACTGACTCACTGCTGGCTAACTCGTAACTACTCTTGAATAGTCTTCGCTGCTCCTTATTTAGCCCCATTACGGACAACACAGAAAACAGTTACGTAATAGGCACCACTGTTGTCTGATGCCGTGTTTGCCGATAGCCTAGCAACACTGTCGGGAGTTGTTTACTACTTAGTAGCAACAGCGGCATCCCATGTTACGTCACCACGGGAGGGGGCGGGGTGTTGACTGGCCTATTACCGTAGCAACGGCAACACTCCAAAGGTGTTATGTCACCGGTGGCAGGGGAGGGGGTGTCCTGCATACCGCAAATACATCACATTATTATTATTATCAGTCTGTATTTTAGCTCTACAATCCATTTAAGCCATGAACCGCCACTGATGTATAGAGTTTCCTTTACAGCAGTGTTTCTCAACCAGTGGGATTAGACAGATGGCTCATAAGGACTTAATAACAAGACCTTCCATTAACACTTATTATAACAATAAAACATATTTAACTCTGAAAATACCCTTCTCATAAAAAGGAATGTTCTATTTTTACTATGGTGGAAGTATGATGTTTTGACAAAATGGCCAGTGGGTGCAATGTGGAAAAGCCTGAGGATCACTGCTTTATAGTAAAACAACATGATAGTCAACCAGATTCATTTATTAGTTTATGCCTAGTTGGACACATCAGAAGCGATATTTACTAGCAAAAGCATTGTGGATGCAATCTCTCCTTAGTTTGTATTGCATACTGCAAGCCAGAGAGACAATGCCCTGCCATTCAATCAGTAAAAGCAGTGGGAACAATACAATTGAATTGGTTAGCTTCAAACGGGAAGACATCCAATGGCTGGAACACAGGCATATCCCCCTTTCAAACTGACTGATATGTTTAGTTCCCAAACAGAAAATATAAAGTCACAATTTTGTACACAAGTTCAGTCAACACCATCAGCCTTAGCCCTTCCAGAGGTACTGCACTATTAATAAATCATGGAGGATGCTCCATCAAATGATGGAGGTGATCCTACACTGGGACAAGGGGGGCAGGATTGCAATCAGTTTTTCCATCATCTACCACATGTGGATGCAGAGAAAGAAACCTTTCTTTCAGCTGCCATGTCCAAGAATTTTGAACAGTTCCTACTTGTGACATTTTGCCTGAGAGTTTAGAACAGTATAGCTAGTGTAAGTATGAACATTACAAGGCCAAGGGGGTCAAAATGGCAAACCAGTTATTCCCTCAGGTACTGCAGATGGAAGTGGTTAAAAGACAAAATTCTCCTTTCACCCGTTATATCTAATAATTTTGAATGACTACGTTCTTTCTTCTTCCTGTTGTGGCTCAAATGCTTCATATAGAGAATTTCATTTGCATCTAATAAGGAACAGCCTGGCACATGCTGTAAAAGGGCCTCACTCAGAGAGATCAATTGGTAGCCCAGTGAATGATTCACCTCAGCTGGGAAACTGGACACAAGCAGCAACAATCACTGGCTTGTTCTTGGGAAATGATAGCTGTGTCATGGCTGTTCTGCTAGTGAATTTACAAGAAAAGAATGTGTGAACTGCCTACAATGCATGGGTGGCTTATGTGGACAACAACTGCTTCTTGTATTATCATATGAAAGATGCAGCTGTAAAAAATACAACAAATGTAGATTTCTTTCCAAAAGTAGAGAACTGTCAAAAAAGTAAAATAGTGTAAATTGATTATTATTCCAATATAAAAATAACTATATTAACATCCTCTATTTACATTGAAACTCCATTTATCTTGGAAATGTATATTACCTATAGAAATATTTGTTTTTCCTATACCCTCCATTAAAATCGAAATACCCTGGCAAAAAAATCTGTATAACCAGTGCTACTAGGCAATTTAAAATTCACTCTTTAAGGGTTATTTCATGTGCATAATTTCCTGCAACAGAGTAGGATCACCAGTGTTGTGACAGGCATAATCTCAAAGTTCTGGACTGTTACCGTCTTTGTAAATAATACATTGCACCCAGCTGATAGGGATTATTTTTATTGCTAGTGGGGTGGGACTAAGTCCCTTGTACTGCAGCCACTTCTGGCCTATTGTACCAGCCCCAGATCATAGGTGAGGGTGATTGTGGAGCAATTGGTGGAATGAAGATTGGCAGGGGAAACCAAAGTACTCTGAGAAAACCTGCCTCAGCGCCACTTTGTCCACCACAAATCTCACTTGACCAGACCCGGGTCGCCATGGTGAGAAGCCAGTAACTAACCGCTTGAGCTATGGCACGGCCAGCTGATATGGATGGTCCAATATGAAAGGACACTGATTCTTGACTAGGAAAAAAAATCATAACACCTTCTAACAAGTTAAGGGATAACCACAGTTAAGCACAGGTTATTGAACTGAAATCTGTTAACCTTGTAAATACAACTGTTAACTCAAAATTAGTAATAAATCACCGTTAGGGTATTTGAAATGTTGTACAACTTTCTAGTACATACTTGTCCTCTTGCGGTATACTTGGGAAACTTTGCCCCTCTCAGTAATGTATTGATGCGCTGCTGCTGGATTAGCTCAAGAATTGTATCACATCGTTCCTTCTTCAGCTCCAAAATGGGGGGTAAATGTGTCAATTCCCACTCTTCCTTCTCTTCAATCTCTGACTGCCAAATCTCTGCAATTACAGAGTATGGAAATCTGCGAAAGATTTCATTCAGATGCTCCAGTGTGACTGGCTGCAAGGCCAAAGCCTCCTGTAACTGGCGCTGCACTACAAGCATCACCTGAAATTGTCACATACACTATGAATTATATCTGGTTTCCATCTCATACCAGTCCTGTTCACGTGTAGTCAAAACAGATTTCTGCATCTGGGTATTGCATTTTTCTTATATAACCACAAAACTAGGTGTTGGTTGAATTAAAAAACTTCTCACACCTTTCTTACATTAAATATTAGGATAATTATAGCAGTAGATTCAGGTATATTTAAGCTACATTCTAACTGTTACTTTTAAGTATTTTCAACAGACAGCATTACTTTTCTTGAGAAACATTGCGATATGCAACTAGAATTGATGTGTTTCCTACTTATTTCATTGTACTGTCTAGCATGTGTAATAGGCACAGGATATTCATATTTATACCAAAAATTCTGTCTTTACCTGTCATACACACCATACTGTGACGCAAACTGTTGCAGTGTGAACTTGTAGAGGTAAGATGATTGAGGTGAAAATGTTAGAGCTGAATCACAGTCTCTGCATATACTTCCAATACCAGGCTTCTTAAAATATAACACTGCTAAATTTTTCTTGCTCTCCCTAAACTACCTCAGTGGTGAGGAGGTTGCATGCCCTGATCACCTTAACAGCTATGACAGCAGGGGTTTAGGTTCTTGACAGGATCACACCCACTGGACAGGTCAAAGGGTTAGAGACAGAAGAAAGTTAGCCCCAGGTCCTCCAGGTCAGGGTTGATTGTGAGGCTAGCAACTCTGTTACAAAACATCATACATTAGTGTGTCTGAAAAGTAATGATACAATTTTTGTCAAATTACCTTTCAGACACATTGTATATGTTATGAAACTTGTTAATACCAGATGAGACAAGAATGGGCATGTCATAAATGAGGTCAAGGTTCTTAGAAGAACATAAAGCCAAGGAATAAGTACTAAGTTTTGCTTGCATCTGAGTTAAAATTCTGTTTTTTTTACACTTTCAGCGCTTAATTACACAAAAAAATACATTTTAAAATACCAAAATTATAAAAAAATGTATAATTCACTCTAAATTTGGAGAGATGACAGTATGTGACATACTGTTATGCCGTCACCTAAGCGGCATTTGGTAAGAAGTGAAAAATGACTTTCAGACATCCTATATATTTGCATCATACATTTTCCATTCATACCATACAAACACAAAAAAAAAGTATTGTTACATATGTTAGTTTCATTCAATGCATAAATAAATATCAAGTAATATTATGAGGTGAATAAACTAAAGAAGATAATCCCTGTAAGGTGATCAAAGAAGAAACAAGATATGTATAAAGAATTTTTCTTGGTAGACCCAAGACTGTATGGGAGGACATTAATAAAACAGATCATGACAAAACAGGTTATGAAGATGAGAAATTGATTGAGCTGGTCCATGAAACAATCTAATGGCAGACTACTAACATGATGAACCTTCATTTTTTATACCAACAGGGAATTTCTTGGGCAGATGATAACCTAGCAACTGCTCAAGGAAAATCCTGTACCATGAAGCCTTGTTAGCATGACCATACTGTGACCTCAACTAAACTGGCTAAGGACAGGATTCAATGGCATACTTTTGCAAACACATTGCTGGGCTTTCAGGTTGCATTACAACCAAGAATTCCTTGATCAGCTAAGTAACTATCACTTTACAAGCCAGTAGTTACTGGTGTGTGCTAAACACACGCTGAAACATAAAATTACCTTTTCCTGGTCACTAGGTGTACGTGCCCTCATTTCTCTGCGTGTTCTTCCCAATAGCAATGCCGCATGACAGAATAGTTCCTCCATGAAAGGACAATCACTTGATGCTGTGAACACCATGGGCTGATACAACTTCCCATCACGCTTCAGGGATTTCCCTACACCCAGCAAGTCACTCAAAAGTTTGACAAGACGTTCACAAGTATAAGGAAATGACCGTGACGATGCCTTCTCTTCCAGAATTACCCGCACAAATGTGCGACGATAACGCCTGGCAAAATACAGCATGCATTCAAGGGTGAATCGACAGATCAGGATAGAAGAATTGGAAGAGAAATCTATCATGAGAGAATGTCTTTTAGGGAGATTTTTGGTGTCAGAACTTGGTGTGGGAGTAGATTTCGACCTACTGTATGAGGCCTTTTTAACAGCTTTTATTGGCTGCGGAGTGCTGCATACAAAATCCTCGTTAACAAAACTTTTATTAATCATTACAGCTGGTAAGTACTTATCCAAGAGCGTCACAGGGCGACTATCTTCAGTGAGGGAAAAGACACTGCCCTTCATGTTCTGTGTATCTTCAGTTGCACTTTCCAATATGCTGTTCAGTTCCAAAATGTACTTCGCATCAGTGCCTAGAGGATCAATCATAGAGGTGAGTCTATCCTCTAGCAAGCCAAGTATTAATGACTGATAAACATACAGCTCATGGGCCATACTAGGATTGATGTCATCACACAATATGTTCTTCTGGATGGTATCTCTGGTCTGTTTTGAAGCCATTGACCCCAAAATTTTTAAAGAATCTGGCCCCTGTGCCAAGGCATTAATGAGAGCCAATGCCTTCTCCTGAATGATTGGACTCTCCCTGTTCCACAAGTGCTGGATCAGATCAGGTACATCAACTTGTGTCATCATGGTATGCTCTTTTCGTTGTACAACTTTCTCCAATATCACAAGGCTACATTTGATAAGTTCTACTGGGAGATGCTGTTCACTATTTACAAAGTCAATCAACCGTCTAACAAATTCATCCTCAATGGTGGGTACCAACTGGTAATGCATCAACCATATGAACGAACGTAGACAGTATGTGATATTAGAATGTGATTCTGCAATATTCAATATCATTTCCTTTATTATCTTGTAGCCATCAATGGTGAAGAAAGCTTTAGCAAAAACTGGGTCTCCACTCAGTGTAGACAGCTTGGACAATGCCCATAGTTTCCCATCTATGTCAGACACTTCAGAACCAAGTCTCACAATAATCTGCTTTACCATTTCTGAAGGAGATAAAACCAGTCGTAAAATAGAGCCATTCTTTATCTCACCTCGGTTCTCCTCTGTCACATACTTATTATCACCTGTATCTTGTTCCATCAACTGTAAAGCATATATACCAGAATCTTTCGATAAATTGAATTCTATACACAATGAATGAACAGTTTCAGAAAGGGGTTCATTTTGATTTAATTTACGCAGATGCTTTTCACTGGCTACTTCCACAGCAACTGAAACAATATCCTTACTAGATGTATGGAATTCAGATTGCATTTTCTGCATTCACACAAAGACAATTTTAACACACTGAATACCAATCACAAAAATTTGTGATTCTTTTTAATAGAATGAACAGGAAAGAATAAAGGAGATGCATATATGTATATATAAGTCAATGTTTCACAGAGTTTACTCCATTTACAGGTGGTACTGTCAACTTAGCATGTCACCGACACTGAATACACATTCTTTAAGACACAAAACAGTACATGTATTTTACAACTGTGGTACCTGATGGGAAAAGTATCCAGTAATGTGTTACAAGATAGACATATGCACCACTTTCCACTTAAGACTGATAACTGGTAGGTTATCTCAGAGTTGACATAGTGATAAGAAAATACTTTCTACAGATACCACAGAGATGACTCAATGCAGTGTACTTACACAAAGGATGGGGGAAAAGATTTGATACATTCCATTTACCACATCTGACAATACTGACACATATACAGCTTTAATGATTTCATATTAGTCTTTAATTACTTCCATTAACAAGCCAAAGTCAAACAACAAATTCATCACACGCAATCAAGGTGGAATCTGCTGTCAACGTCGGCGGTTTGACCTGGACCCTCGGGTTCTGGACTCCTGGGATCTCTGGCTGCGGCGACTTCCTGGTTGCGGAGACCTGCAAATCACACATTTTCCCTAGGCATTCAAAATGGTCTCTGCTGGAAACAAATTGATCTAACAAATGAGTCAATTTGCACTACCATGTTCTACTGGTGGGGCCCTCCCACATATTCAGATCATTCCTGCAATAATTAGTAGTTATTACAAGTCCTCTTAGCATAGTGTATTAAAATGCATACACACAGTGAGAAGCCAATTCACAGACTTGGCATAGTAAAACCTTGTTAACTCACCAACACCAAAGCTTCCAGTAAAGGAAAAGGCTGTCCTGAGGTGATTTCAAGCGTTACCTCAGTCCCGACAACAAATAAAATAAAAAAAGGCCATTACCACTTCCATTCATGATCCATTAAACCTAACATACAATGACTTTGCATTCAATGCTTCATAACTGATGAAGATGATCCAGTATCATCCTTCAATGAATGCTCCAGCTGAATGGTTCTGCTTCATATCAGTTTCATTCCGACACTTTCCTTGGTTTCTCTCAATTCCTCTAACCAAACATGATGTAGTTTCACCATCATCCTATCCGACATAATGTCTGAATGCTTAACAACTGAGAATGTGTTGCTATATGATGAAAGAAATAATCTTTATGATTATCAGATCCAGTGTGCCTGTTATTCATATTAGAAACAATCCTTCCTGCCTTCTATAGATCATCCCAATATATCTACTTCTTCCAGACTGGTATTTTAAAATATTCTTCTTAGTATTGTGGCAAACTCTTGCTTTTACACACTGCCTCAAAATAAATAAGGTGCTACCATGCATCAAGAATCCAACCTGTCACACAGCTGCAAACCTTTCAACCTCTGAACACATTCTTCATCAGTATCAGATACAATAAAACATCTTTGAGGGTACTTTCAACAGACAATCTTATAGCAAAAGTCCTGTGTCCAGCATGATCTCTGGTATGGTGACTGTGATTCCCACTGTACACTAGAAACGGAATCCAGTAACTTTCAAATGACAATGCAGCAATTCATGCCAATATCTGATGATGATGATGCATCGCCAAAGATGTTTCCAGGCAAATGTTAATGAAGATCTTTTCCCACTGGGTAATCAACCATCAGGTTATTTAACGATGAGCTTATTTCCATAGAGGTTATATAGATGATGAGATTAGAACATTATGAAAAGCACAAAAGGCCTTGAAAGCACATAGTTTCTCCCCATTTTAAAATATTACTTCGGCAATCACATGGATGAACTACCAAGGAAATTTAAAGTCATTATAGCAGGTTACGAAGCAGAGATTGGAAACAGGTTAACTCCAAACAATTTTTGCTTAGTGCGGTATTATTCCCTTACATTTAACCATTTAGTTAACAGTCATTCCAATACCTCCAGTTATGTCCCTTTAGTCTCCTAGTCTCTGCCTAACTGTCAAAAGGTGAAGGACCCCACTGTGATCTAATGCTGAAAGTTTCAAATTAAATGTAATCAAAGATGTTAGAATCAATGCAAATGTCACTTCAGTATGAAATACAGGGAAAATGCGGTTCTTTTAATCTCATGCAGCAATCCAGTGTGTTATTTGAAATACCATCCCCCGAGAGATATCTGCAAAGGATTAGTCAACCCAGTACAACCTGGGGCCTATATGAATACATGCAAGACTTCCATCCACTGCTGCTATGATATAAAAGGTTGTACTACCAGGCTCAAGAAGCTCCAGATAACAAGGCTTTCCTGTGTCAGAGAGGGGTAAAACAACAATCACTGTACTTTTCGTCCACTTTAAGCAGTCATGTATTTCCTAATCTCTCTCCTCTTTTCTGTTAACGGCAAGCCTTTGGGAAGGGCATTATCAACTTTCAAACTGTACTCTTTCAGAATCTCTATTAAGTGGACATACAACTGGAAGAGGCAATTGGGGGGGGGGGTTACTGAACATGGAAAATGTTAATTCATACTGACCCAACAGCTGTAGCAAAATTCTGCAAGCCATTTTTCAGAATTAACCACCAAACATTGCCAAAAATGGCACAATACAAAACAGCATTACTGCATACATGCTTTGATGAAATGGATTTCTATCTGCTATTCTGCAGAAAGAATCAATGACATTACATGAACCATGAATATAGGAACTTCCAAAGATGCCAGCCAACATGAAACCAGCATATCACTCTCTGCCATGTGTTTAAATTCACTTCATAGATGTCACGAACAAATTACAACAATCATACTGAGGGTCTGGCTTATGACACCAAGTAATCTTGCGAAGTGGATGACACTGCACATGAATATGGAGTCTCCACCTTCAGGGCTGAAGTGCATAGGATGAGGTATCTGTTGGGTTATATAAGTAGGTTATAAACAAGGTGCTCACTCAAGACTTGAGGGAGACACTGGAGCCCAGTCTGGTCCTACAGAGAAATGGTGCTGTTGAGTGCCATGATATGCATGAGAGAAACTGAAATGAGAATGAATGAATACACCTATATAACCTAATATACTGTATTTCTCATCCTACACACTTCAATCCTGAAATGGAGGCAGCAACATCCTTCAGAATGGCAGTACCTGCCTACAAGACTACACGCTCACAACCCAGAGGACCACAATCTGAAAAATCACCGCTGTGAGATTCAAAACATATAAAATTACAATTACTTCGATAGATTTTTTATCATTTATCGTGTCTACAAAACTCCACTTCCCAAATATCATGTATAAATTTTACACAATCTGCTACCAAAGAAAGAGCAATGTTTTCTCCCTATGTACTTGAATGCTTCATTGACATCCTTCCTTCCTATCTACCTACCATCCAGTCTAACTTCAGCTAAGCATTACCAGTTAATACAAGTCTAGGATCACATCATACGAATAATAAAGACAACCTATCTATGTTATGAGGTACTAAAAATTCTGTCTCTGTATACACTCTCACACACCCCTCTCTCCATAGAATTTACATTGCAAGAAGAAGCTGATGTTGACAGGAACAAGTTCTTTGCAAGAATTTTATAAAATTTGGTCTAAGAATCTGTCAACTTTTCTTCCATATGACTGTCTGTTTTGAAAACTTATCCTTCAGACTGCTCCATAAATACAAAACATATGGAATAGACAAACAAACACACTCTTGTCCTAGCCCCTATTTCATCCCTTTTCTCTTAAGTACATGAAGAGTAAAATCTTCTGAGTTGTAACAACACGTACTTCAGTTGAAGTCTGCAGACATTTCAGAGGAATATAATGCCTCTATCTTCAAGGACCAAAAAGTACACCAAGCAAGAAACTAGCAATAAGCAGACGATGGGTTTCTTGTCCATAAGTAACGCAAGAGACTTGATTTTATTAATATATTTATGGACAACTATTGCCTTAGAAACTGACACCAGGAAATTTATCGAAAAAATTTGTCATTCTATCAGAACCACACTCATCACATGATTAATACAAAAGTATATACTTAACAGTACATCATACCACAAACATTCATAATAGCCAACACTGTTTCACAGTCTCATCCGTCACAATAACCATTACATTACATGTTTATTACACTGCTGCTTTCTTGCATATTTTGAGAAGCCAAAACTCCATACCCATGACAGCATGAATCACTTCAGCAACATTTGTTGATAGTGCTCGGTCTGTGTCATTCTAGACTTATATCAGGAACAATAGGTAGTGCTCAACTGAAGGTAAGTTGTCAATGGCCAGCATCAGAGAAATTAAAGAAGTATTCAACTGCACAGAAGTATGCACTGTACAAAAGCCATCAGGCTTTCACAGTAGTGTGTTGAGATTTCTGTTAAAGTTTTACAAAAATACTATTATGTGGTGCACTAATCTTCCAATATCTCCAGTAAATTAATAATCTCAAAATTCAAAGCAAAATAAATGTCAGCAGACTTAGTCCTCTATTTTATAAGCAACTGAGCAGTAGATCTAACTTCTCTTTACACTCTGAACTCAGGTGACGGATCACAATTTCAACATGTTGTAGCAGAAATGTCCATCACAGCCAAACAAGAATAACTTCTACTTTTCATACCAAGCAATGAACTATGCTTCATTTCAAACAATATGCAAACAATATGAGACTGCAAACTTTCACTGTCTTCAAACCAACAAGATACACAGAAAGCAACTCTCAGACTCCTGTGTTGCATTATCTAAGTGCACCAGTCCACATAAACCATTACATCACAGCAACAAAAGTACAGGGTTTCAAATTACTGTGCCATGTCACAATACAATAAATCAGTATGACAGTACTGATATTATGAAAGATTACATTACATTCTGAAATGTCTCAATAATCAATTCACAGTCTTGTAGCCTTCCATATCCTTATATTCCAAGGACAGTTTTAGCCATTGTTTCCCATGGGTGTGAAACGTGGACTCTCATTCTTAGTTATTATTTTATTATTATTGCTAGTAGGGTGGGAGTAAGTCCCTTGTACTGCGGCCACTTCTGGCCTACTGTACCAGCCCCAGACAATAGGCAAGGGTGATTGTGGAGCAACTGGTGGAATGAAGATTTGCAGGGGAAACCGAAGTACTCAGAGAAAACCTGCCCCAGCACCACTTTGTCCACCAGAAATCCCACTTGACCAGACCCGGGATCAAACCCTGGCCGCCGCGGTGGGAAGCCAGCAACTAACCGCTTGAGCTATGGCACATCATTCTTAGTTACGTTCAAGAATGAAATGCTGAGAGCCACACATCCATTCTTGAACATTTTACAGTGGTGTGACAAAATGCAATTTCACATATTGTGTGTTCTACTTGAATAAATGTGATCAACCACACAAGACAAAAACTATAATAGCCCAGAAAATAGGTCCCTCTTTGATAAGTTAAATAATACCTGTCCTAACTTTTATAAAGGGAGGGGTGTTTTCATGTACATTTCTAAGAAACAAGAGCTTACTGGTGTAAAGATTTACAAACTGTGGAACTTGACTGGCTAACTTAGACAATGACAACTATATATATAACAGTGAAACATAATTACCAGGACAGAAGGCAGAATATAACTATAGTGAATAGTTACATCATTTTATCAACCTATGGAAGAAAACTAGATCAAATTTTGTCTGACTTGCTTCAAGATCATTGGAAATTAGTCCAATTGCACCTCACATCAATCCACCACACCCACAAGACATTCAAACGTCCTGCCTTGAAGGTCAACACATCAATATTGTTCTGCTGCAGAAGTGATCTTGTGGTCTTACACGTGTTCAGGTAGAAAGAAAGAATTACCACAACACATGTCCTTGAACTGTACACTCTGCACCTGAGTATGAATCCATGTTTTCATACTTACCACACAAAAGTAGACTTTTAAATCTGAGGTCCATCATAATATGGGAATGAAAATGTTTCCATAAAAGTGTGCAACATATACAGATTTATGTATACAAAATTTTGTTTTGTTTTAAGACTTGAAAAACATTATTGGAAATTATGATTATTATAATAGTAGAAAATAGCATTACAGAATCCAGCAATTTATTACCTTTCAGACATTTTTTACTAAAATGTTTTAGTAGTTATAATTCCAAACATACATACATTTTTTCTCATACCACTATCATTCAAACCCGAGTTAAAATCAGGCAACCAGCATATAATGCTCCTAGTCCCATAACACAAGTTAAAACAATAAGGCCAAAAGGGACAGGGAAAGTAGAACACACACACATGGAAGAAACAACAAATGCATACTAAAATTATAATAAGGAAATCTGAATGGAAGAGACAATCTGGCATACTTACACAGGAAATCAAGGAAAAAATTAAAATGGATCAAATTTGAAGCAGGGCAGGATGTTACATATTCAGAAACTCTTTTCATTTATGCAGTTTGCCTGTTATTGTTGGAGGTTATGGTAGGTTGAATATCTAGCTCAGCTGGGGAAGACAAGAACTGCACACAGAATTTCAATGGGGAAATCACCAGAAAAGTAACCATTCAAAAGACCAATTAGGTATGATGATTATACTAGGATGTAATTTAAGGAAATGGGTACATGATGGGTGGATGAAACTGACTCAGTACTGTCTTAGGTTTTCTCTGACATTATTTAAGCTGAATCTACAGGTTGCACTACCAAACAGGTAGTAAGTTATATCTGTTGTGAACAATAATGAAATTTTTTGATCCAAGAAGATAGATTCTAAAGGGTTCTCATGGTGGCATATAACACTCAGAATTACTGGGATTTTGGACTTTGTCTATGGTTCAGTATTCTAAAAAAAACAGAGAACACACTATTTCAAAAGCTGGATCTGTTTCCATCCTCAGGTGAGGGGCAGGAAACACCTACTCTATTGGGTCCCTCAGAAAGAGCTAACCTCAATCACAGTGATTTAGAACAAGCCCTTTTCTAGAATCTATTCAGTCACTCCAAGCATGTATCCAGTCTGTGAGCACTGCCACACTCAGATGTTAAATAGCATTTAATTTACTGTCCATATTAAGGACAACATACTCCAAGTGGGTTCACTATGCACCCAAGCCTCTCTTTTTCTTTTCTTCTATCCCACTTAAGTTTCTCACTCTCCCTCTCTTTTCCTATCTCTTTGTGAGCAGTCATGAATAAAAGAAATCAACAAGTGATGAGTTTCTTTCTTCCATGATGCAAAGCAAAAACATCTCTCCTGTCATATTACAACTCTGAAAGGGTTTGAAATTATGTTTAGATTCATAGACATACAATTCTTGCCTGTAAAATTTCACAGAAAGGATATTCATGTTTGCCGTACTCACTGCAGAACAAAGCCCATCGTCAATTATTCTCAGTACGATTTCCCTGAAAAGTATTATTTGGATATCAAAACTTATACCACCTTTCTTTCACGGTTACATAAAAGAGCCATATCTGGACACACACTGCCAACATTTGCCATTAATGGTATTAAATTAAGTATTCTAACTCACTGGCATCCTGCATGTCAAGCTATGGCCCTAACTACTGATTGGGAAATACAAAGCTACGGTATGAATCACTGGATACCTACCAACCTCGGGAACCTGGCACCACCAAGATTACCATGACCATGATCGTGAGAGTGAGCTACCAATCAAAACCATCATAAATCCTCCAGTCTTGATCCAACCAATTGCAGGCCACCAGACAGTAGTTCCATTCCAACCAACCACAGGTCACCCAATGGACCAATAGCGATTGATTTCCGACCAATACAACCAATCACCTCTCTACCATAACCAACACACACACCCTAAAGTAAATCAAGCAATGTCGTTAAGTCGACAAAATAGCCCTCTCTTGGAAATACCAAAAAATAGAAACACAATGAGTATCATAAAAAAGAGCAAAAAAGACACGAACAACTACATATATGCACGTACACATAAAAACTGACTGATCCACACAAAACGTGCGGGAAAATTTACTGCCTCATACATTTGGTTACCTCTACCAGTCCGGACCATGAGATCTTTCAAAAGCGTCAAAATGCAGAGGACACAATTCTCCTGCCAAGGATGCCTATGTGAAATCTCACAATAACACACATCAGCGATATGAGAACACTATAAACAATGGATGAGCCCAAGAATACATACGACTACCAAAAAAAAAAGCAGTGTTTACCTTGATGGCGGCCTCTTATAGCCATACTTGGAGTCTGGGCAGTCCCGTGAGAAGTGGCCTCTGTCTCCACACTGGTAACACCGCATGTTAGGATCGTAGCCACGCTGACCACGCCCTCGAGTCCTGGGACGAGCAAATGTCACCCGAATTCGGCTCCCACACAAAGTCCTGAATTGAGGGCAGGATCAGTAAACCCGTACTTCAGACTGGATGTATACACATTATGAAGACAGAACATCCATTGAGCTGTTTAAGGTTCTGTACTGGTGACATCCAAAACCAAACATTTACCATTTCCCAGGTTTACATATACACTTCTAACACTAGGTTCGGCCTGTCACTGTTTCCAAATTCTATAATCATGTTTCAACTCCAAATCTCTTAACCTCTTCCACTCACACAACACAGCAGACTCACCACTCCATATCTCATCTTTAAATTAAACTTCAGAAAAGTGCCACCATATCTTGGTAGCTGTTTGAACTATTTGGTCTCTCATGATTCAACAAGAAATAAATTTTCTTGCAGCAAAAAGTACACCAAATACAGCAATTCTCATTAGCAAGAAAGAGAGTGGAGTAAGTTCTCCACAGTTCTGTAAATAAAAGTGGAATAGAATAAGTAAGGTCTGAACAATGCATAACAGGCTATACTATTTAAGATACTGTGCACAAGACTCTTCTATTAATTTTAAACATTTTGAAAAAAAAATGTAATGCTCAAAATCATCTACATATAAATTATGAACCATCAGTGCAAGAACCGGGTTATCTTCACAACACAATATATACTGTGACATGTGACCCCTACTTCCCCGGCAGTAACGTAGCGCTTGCGTAATAGGCGAGTTCCCGCCCCGCCACTCCCCTCCGCGGTGACGTCACGCGGCGACATCACGCGGTGACGCGGTGATGTCACGCGGTAACGCGCAACGCTAACATACCCGTAATCAATTTCCTACTGTGACGTGGCACTCATTACGCAACCGGTAAGCACTGCGGCTATATAAGTGGATGCACAGCAGCTATGAGTTCAGTTCCAGTGTGGCTACCGCCGAAGACATTTCCGAGTTATAATGTGGACATCGCTGAGTTAAGTAGTCGACGAGCGAGTGTGTTATCAACAGTTCTCCAGTCAGCCGACTATAGTGGAGTATAGCAGCCGTCGCGGAAAGAAGATCCGGACGTGAGTGTGATTGTGTAATTGGGAGCATGTGATACAGTGATACCTAGCTCCCCGACTGTAAACGTGTAGCCTACTGAAGACAGAGCGAACTGATTTGCGCATAGGGTTATAAAGTGTGAAACCCCGCAACAGTGTTAACAGATTAATGCGATTAGGGTTATAAAGTGTGAAACCCCGCAACTGTGAGATAATTAATTGTAGCCGTTATTTGTAGACTGTTAAATAAACCCAATTAACCATCTCTACGGCGTCTTTGGTAACGCAAACACGTTACACTGGTGTCAGAAGTGGGATTTGAGCTTCAACACGCGACCAACGGGATTAGAACTTACACACGTGACCGACGAGATTCGAACTCAAGACACGTGACAATTTGGTGTCAGAATCAGTTACGGACTTAAACACGCCTGACAAATAATTGAATTATTGTGCATCAAGTATTCGACTGCTACAAAATGGAACAATTATTCGAAATGCTGAAAGAGATGAAGGCCGATAGAAAAACCGACATGGAAAAGTTGGAGGCCAATAGGAAGAAAGACAAAGAAGAGATGAAGGCCGACAGGAAGAAAGACAAAGAAGAGATGAAGGAAAGTAGGAGGAAAGAGATGGGAGATTTCCTAGCCAAACTAGACGCCGATAGAAAAACTGACAAGGAAGAAATGAAGGCCGATAGAAGGAAAGACAGAGAAGATTTCCTGGCAAAATTAGACGTCCACCAGAAACAAACCGAAGTCATGCTGACAAAATTAGACGCTTACTCGAAAACCGGGCAAGAAGAAGAAAAGCCGGCCCCAGGGGACACGAAACCTGCGACGGAACAACAAGAAGAGGTCCCCATAGTGATACCGGTCGGAGCGACGATGGCCTGCC